AAAGTAGTTTATTATGCACTGTATGCTAACCGGTAAAAGCAGTTTCATTCAGCTTGAAACCAGTCTCCTTTAGAGTGGAACTAAAGTCTACTATGCTTACCTCCACTACAGCAATGTGATGTTTGTGAACTCCCTCGACACCACTGATGCTATGAACTGCCTTGCCAGCATGGACATCTTCACCCGGTCTTCTTTCAGGTTTAGCGGCATCAGCTATCTTTATTGGCTGGCCCAGTATGTCATAACTACAACACATATGCATGGGAGTGATTTCATCCTGACACCAAAGCATGCCGAGAGTGTACTCTGAGCTGCGCATGCCATGTACAGTACTAGGAAGATTGCTGGCAGGCAGAAAAGTGGCTCTTTATTGTTGAAAACACATAGTCACATAATATGCATCTTAAAAAAAACCTTTCTGCCAGCAATTTTTTCCCCAAGTGTCATTTTAAGAACTATAATTTGATCTCTGGTGTGTAGTTGGTTAACCTTTGATTATTTGCTAATAGTGATGAGGTATGGTGTGAACCCAGTTCACCCGATTTCACCTAAGCCCACTCTGAACTCTGACTGCCAGCTCCTCCTCCCGACCCAATTAGTGGCGGCAGTGGCATTCCCTGCACCTTTGTGACATACAGCTGCAAGGAATGCACTGGCGGTTCAGCGTTTTGAGTGGGCTTGGACAAACTCAGGTTAACTGGGTTCCCATCAAGCCCTACCTCATGGTTTGCTAATAGATGTGTAGAATAAATGGTACAAAAAGAACATACACTGGTAACCTTGTAGCAGAAGTAAAAAGTCACTAAGTGCCTGAACTACAAATTGCAATTTTCTGAAGCACAGACCTTTCATTGGTTGCATTTCATTATTTCCTAACACAAATACTAGGAAGATCAATTGAGAAGCTGCTACAAAATCACTAGTCTGACATAGGCCTTTCGAAGTGAAAGCAGCTAATTTGTAACACAGAAGCTGACACCTGCTTGTATTATGTGTATGTCTCGTTCAGACGGGCTGCAGTTTCCACCGCCCTCTGAAAAGCGATTTGCAGCGGATCACTTTTGAGAGTGCGGTGGAAAAGTGGCTGCCCGGCGTTGAGGTGATACTGATGCCTCCAGAATGCGGGGGGGGTTCCCGCGGTGGCAGTACAGTCCAATTAATTTCAATTGTTGTGTATGACAAGCAGCACCACCTGTCAAACACAACATGCTGTACATTTTTTTGCCTCCCACATCGCAAAGCATCATGACTGCAGCATACAGTATACAGCACCGTGCGGCCACAGTGCTGCCATTGCAGTGGGCGGCAAAGCTGCAGATCAGCACAGCTTGCTAAAACTGTTACATTGATCAGTGCATCATAGAAGCTGATACCTATACAGCTATGATATGATAGGAAGAAGTACAGAGAACAAGAGGAAGAAAAACTCAAGCCTCTACAAATGTTTCTTCACAAATAAGTCACAAGGACCGCAAATTATACGTTTCACAAAGATTGTTTTAGTTTTTATTATTATTATTATGGGGGTTTTTTTTTAAAACACAACTATTTTAGATAAAGCTTTGCTTTGAAAACCACTTGTCTTTCATAGAAGGGTAAGGAGTATAATGGGTAGATGAAACGGTCATAGAGAGATTATCGAAAACACAAGTGACGACATACCAGATTCAGGGTTTTGATTGGTAAGTTACCAAATTCACAGATGTTACAAATGCTATTGTGTGCCAAGTTCAGATGTGTCAGACTGATGCATTTCTCCAAGCCAATTATCTCCTGGATATTATTATCTGTAGAGAACATAATCAAGGAAACAACATTTATTGTATTGAGGACAAACAATGTCTGACGAAGATCAGGAAGCAGAGTTGCATTACAATTTCATATTAGTGAACTCCTTCACACAGATCTAGAGCAATAAATTCCCAAAAATAGTAATTTTAGTTTTTTTCGGTTTAAAGTGATCTTTCCCATGCATGGCAAAATAAAAGGATCACTTAGAGCTGAACTCTAGGCAGATGTAAAGGACACAAACTATTGCAGCTCTGTGATCATTATTATTATTTTTAATTGCAAGCAGTGTAAATACCTGAATTTGACCTGGTACCAGCCTCTTGCAGTTTCTGTATAGCAGAACTGTTCAAGCTGTTAAGAAACATGATGATAGGAAGAGAGAGCAGAGTGACAGAAGTGAGCTCCTCATTGTGCTGCTTCTCTTTTCACTATCCAGAAACAGATTAGGGCAGGTCCAGGACAATCTGGGCTCAGAGGACGTGGACTGAGTGATGCTGGCTGTCAGAATAAAGTCCTGACATTATTTCTCCTCAGCTCGGCTCCCAATCTGACCTCAGAGCCGAAGAGATCACTCCGCCGCTGCGTTTATATTATAAAGGTTATGGCCCTTTTATTATAAATTAACTTTCTGTAAGTTGCTAAAGAACCTGAAACATTTGACAAGGTTTCACTTGGCAAAGCATACCGTTTAATAAAAGTGTTGTCAGAGCCTTATGCACAGATAAATCCTTCATGTCAGTTATCTGGTTAAATGACAAATTGACAACCTGGAAGAAAAAAAAAAGGCATAAGCAAGTTTTACACAGAGAGTATGGGGTTGATTTACTAACCTTATAAACACGCCACGAACAAGTATACACCTCTGTAGTGTGTTCCCTCCCAGCATGATCTATGGGTGGAATCTAAACACCTTTGTAGTGTGTACACACCCAGCAGGTGTGTTGTGCAAAGACCTGCATGAATTGCAAGGTGATGTTGTGTAAATTAGCTCTAATTTGTGTTGCTTGCGTTGATGAATGCAGGAATGTAAATGCATGAGCTAACCATTTTTGTCTAAACTGTGAAGCAGCATTATATATGCATCATGTGCATGATTTTTCCATATATGGCATTAGTGGAAATATGCTTTTAGATACTTTTTGGTTGATAAATAAGTTTTGCTGTGTAAAAATCACACACGCGTGCGTGTGTTTAGGTTAGTAAATCGCCCCCTATGTGTGCATGTGACTTACATACAAAATAAGATTCAGAGCCTCGCCACAAACTTGGAAATCTCCGAATGGTCATTGTGGAATCCCATTTTTGTTAGATACTTCAGTGAACCTTACAAATAGTAACAGTGGGAAGTTATTTTATGGAGAAATAACCATTACAATCATTTGTGCTGATTTTTATATACAAAATCCAGCAAAAATAAAATATATATTGTACATATGGTAAATTCAGATGATGCATCCAATACAACTTTTAGTGAATTAAAAACAGTTAATTCCTTCGTAACGTTTACTTTCTGTACACCAGTGGGGTATGTGTAAACCTTTCTTATTATGTTCTGTAAATTGTATTACTTATAATAAACATAAATATACCCAAAATAAACCCCATAAAATTCAGTCATCCAGTTTGTCAAGAAGCAAGTGGTGGCTGCTTATTGGCATCAAAGGTTTGACTGCACAAGAATTAACAAAAACATAGCAAAATAAAGTAATATAGTGTAACTTATAGTCAGCCAAAGAACAGAAAGGGAATCGTTTCACATACTATAAGATACTGTCAATTCAACTTATCTCCAATCAAAATGTTTTTCGTTTTGGATAGTGTAGGGAAGGGTTACATTTCTGTCAACATTTGTTGCTGTTGGAGTCTCCATTTGGGAGCTTTCGACTCACTGTCTGCATTTATAATTTTTTGAGTTGCTTTTTATTCTTTCATATAGTAATTACTGCATGCATACAATAAATTCACATATAAGCAAAGAAAAAGCATTGAGATAGATAAGTGACATAGTCACTGAATCGACTGCCGACACAGTTATTAGCATGCTAGGAAACGTTACCTAACATTACCAGACGAGTTTTTTAGTTCCTGTATATTTGATGGGTGTCAGACAAAACCGAGGTGGGAGTAAATCCCCTCAATAGGTAAATGGGCAGCAAAACAAACATTCTGCACAACCTGTCAAAATCCTATTGCTGCCTAGTCCCCTAAGTGCCAGACAGTGAAGGGACTTCTTTCAAAGAAACGGCCAGAATTGAAAACCTGACAGTGGTTGGAACCATTTACCGTTCTATTAAAAAGTTTTTAAAAAATGGTTGAAGTTGGGCTTTATGTGTTCATAAAACATTTTTATATAGGCCACAGAAAGTATGCATTGTTATGTCAGTCTGAACTCACCATCAGATTTTTAGGAGGAACAAAATCAAAAAAAGTAGTCAGCTTGTTGTTGGAGGCATTCAGTTCAGTCAAGTAAGGCATGTAACTGACACAGGATAGATCTAGAAGACAAACAGAGTTGCACCAATATGGAATTTTCAGATTTTTTTTTCAAAACACTTAAAATTATTTTTACTATTTTTTTTTACTTTACTTTACTGTTGAGGGCTCTGAGAAGCCTTGCTCGGGCTCTGATTTACTGTATTGTTTATATTAAAAGGGGCAAAAAAAAGGAAAAGCAGTGGGGAAAACAAGCACTTTGCATTTAACCAATATTTTTTGGGCATTGATTCTCTGTGATCCATGTAGCTAGGGCCTTAGCAGGAGTGTGTCCCTTAGCTACATACTTTGAATAGGTATCCCTCTTTCTCATCTCATAAAAGGTATCCCTCTTTCTCATCTCATATTGCAAGCACAGGCTACAAAACACAAAGCGAGACTGGGGTGTAGATCACAGGGCCCAGAATTGGTTTGATTTGAAATTGGTTGATTGGGGCGTAGTATAAAATGAATGCTGGGTCCATACCCCAAGGCTGCCAGTATTCTACAGGTCACATTTAGGAGAAGAAGCTTTACTACATCAGGAGTGAATAAAGTGTCACAGAATGTGTCTGCGACAGCTGTAGCCTGGCATACCCAAAGTACGGATATTTTCATACATAAGGCTGATTGCTTGTATCACACATTAATGTGAAAGGAAAATATAATGGTTTTAGGCAAGGGTGAGAGTTTGGAGAAGGCAGGAGAAGTGAACAATCTAGGACAACATAGCTGAACTAGAAAGTGAGCTGAATTGGAGAATTTTTCAAAATCAGCTATTTTGGCCTAGACTGTTCACTTCTCCTGCCTTCTCCAAACTCTTCACCCTTTTGTGAATAACCCAATTAGTCTCCTGCCAAATATGAAGAGTTCTCAGCTTTGCTGTTGTCACAATTTATGTCTAAATCCTAATACAATACTACGTCTGAGCCTAAACTCAGAAGGTGAAGATATGCTATATTACAGAATATGAATTGGATTTTAATTCTGCTTAAGCACTACTTTAAAAAAATGTACCTTTTGTCTTGAACTTCACTTCATTAAAAAGAACTTGAATGGGCAGAGGGCAAAGGACTAGTAACCTGTATTGCCTGTGGTCTTCCTGCACCTTACCTTTTCTCCATTGTTGACCTGTTATGTCCTGTTCTGCACCTGTGTCTATTTGCAAAGGCAGCCATGTTGGTAGAGAAGCAGGCTTTGCTACCTAATGGCAGACAGAAACACTGGGGATCCATGACTGGTAGGGAAAAAGTCAGGAAGCAGCAGGAGGGTGGAAGAAGCACAGGTACATAGAATGAATTGAGCAGAAGTAGAGAAATACATCCAATACAGGTTCTCAGGTACAAATTACTCTACAGCAGGCAACACTGTAGTGGCATCATCACATCACACTCCAAATATTCTGAAACCAGCAGTCGGTACCTCTAACTATACAGCTATGAGGCCGTAGACAAAAGGAGTGCCAGGCACCTTTACATACCAGGAAGTGCCCTGCTATATTTCAGGTGGAATTCAAGACATAAGGTACATTCCTCAGTGCACTGCACAGTGCACACGAACACTATGGCTTTGTGGAAAAACAATTAACCTAACAGTATGTTTTAGGCTTTTGGATATAAAGCAGGAGACGCAAAAGCAAACCAAAAACAAGATGAATATATAAATAAACTCTATACAGACAATGGGGGAGGGAAGTTATCAAAACTGGAACAGGCAGAATCTGGAGCAGTTGCCTATGGCAACCAATTAGCATCTCTTTAGTATGAAATAAGAAGCTGATTGGTTGCAGTGCAAATCTGCTCCAGTTTTGATAAATTCCCCTCAATGTCTTTAGTAGGAACCAGACCCAAAAGCCAGGACAACAAAAGCATGAGTTCTTACCTCTAACTCAATATACAAATAAAAGCAAAAATAACACAGCATCACAGTTGTTAATTAACCCAATGAACTGTAGTGCACAGTCAAATGTCTGCATGGCAATTTAGCAGCACACAGTATATGCAGTCCATCATTTTTTGGAGTGCCCAACACACAAAAGTACATTAGACAATGATGCCTAATGTATTTCAGAAAAATTAAACATTTTGCATACAGTACATATCTAACTACATATCAGAATGCTGGTCCCTTGGGCTGTCAGCTGAAGCAATACATTGTGCTTCTAACAATACGTACCACAAACCTCATTGCCGGACACATCCAACTTTTGCAGATGCGCATAATTGCAGAGAATCTTTATATCATTTAGTTTTTTATCCTACAATTAAAGAAAAAATAAAAAGGTTATTCAGGTCACTGGTCATAGACATGGTTGCTCCATGTCATTAAAGGAGAACTATGACTTAAGGGCAAATAAAAATACCCCTTACCTTGATTGTAGTAGCATCGTTCTTTTTTTCTAAATTTGCAGCACATCACAGATAAAAACCCTCAAAGCTGTAGTAAATGGCGGTCTTCAGCCATGCTCCAAGCTCCTTTCCTCTTAGGGGCCGTTAACATTAGATCCAGCCCGCCCGCTGCTTTTTTTTCAAATGATATCATTGCTGTGCCCGCGCTTCCTCTCATCGTGCACAGCTGTGTTTTGTCAGCTCGTGCACGCAGGCTCCTTCCCCTCTCTCTCTCTGCATGCCCTGTGTGACGCTGACATCCTCAATTCACTGGGGATCGCTGATGAGAGAGGGGAAGGAGCTCTCTCTCTCTCTTCAGCATTTACTACAAATCGGAAAGTCCATATATGGTAAATTATGTCACTGGAGATCCCTGCTGATCGGATCGCCGGCGTCCATACACTCGCTAAAAGGACACTGCTCCGCAACGCACATCAATCTCCTCCGGCCAACAGCCCAGCGCATAGCACATGGACCATTTGCCGGCGGAGACCCCCGTGCACAGCGGCCGCTTCTCCACATCCACATGAAGATATCTATTCCAATGGTTTGCCCACAGTGCTGATTATTCCGGGCCACGCTCCAATAGCGTCACACCCAATCCGGGCCACGCCCAGCAAACCTGACACTGAGAGACATGATGACAATATTACAATATACTAAAAACACATCCTAATAAAATGTCCACAACACTTTGAGGAAGCTGTCTACCCATTATCTAGATCACACTTAATTATAGCTGGAGGAGAAACATCAACAAACACCAAAGGGTCCAGCACTTTCTTTCCAAACTTCCAAGAAGTTTGGAAACAGCCCAGGAGGGCAGATTCGTCGTTCCATGGACAGAGGAATCTGTAATATTTATTTATTTCAGACTGGGGAAGAACAAAAGAAATCTGGCAGCATATGGCCAGCGTTAGTCCCTTCCTACCCCCTCATCAATATGGTAATGACATTTTTAAATAAAACCTTTTGCTTTCATTACATACCTTATTTCATTCTCAGTGATGTCATCATTGGGTCCCTCTGCTTCACTATGCAATGAAGGCAGAATATGGCTGATAGAAGGGCTCAGGAGAGTGCTGTGCATAGCGTCTTGAATGCATCACAGCACCCTGACTCAGTTTGCCTCTGAAGAGACCTCAGCCCTGATGCAGGCAGTGGGTTGGCAATGGGGAGGGGTTATGCAAATATCCCAATACCTTGATGGATGGATGTCAGCCTGGACAATTGGTCATTCCTAGGCAAGCTGTATTTGCACACAGGTGCAAATCCCTCACATTCCCTCCAATGTGAGGGAAATCCCTGGTGGTCAGCAGGGTCACCAGAACTAGTGTCACCTTTGGAAGATTTCCCATCTAATCTTGTTCTCATGACAACACAAAATTGGGATTTTCTTTTCATTTCACTTTCAGGGATAATGGTTTCCAGGGCCAAAAGTCCCTAACAGGGACACAGACAGCAATGACTACCTGACAGGTGCCAGATACATTTTCTCTGTATTATCTTGCCAAATGGGAAAGGGACTTGAGGGGGGTCTCCTTTATCGAGGTACAAAATGACAGGATATTAGGATATTACGGATGACACGGAGCACCCATCTCTATCAAAAACCAGGAAACCGGGTTCAAAATCCTTTCCAGGTTGTACAGGGTACCAAGGCAGTTGCACAAGATCTATCCACAGTGCTCACCTCTATGTTGGTGATGTAAAGAGCAGGAGAGTTCCCTGCTGCATATTTTTTGGTCCTGCTCAGGGATACGGGACTTTTGGGATAAAAGTTGCTTCTATCTGCCAGCAATTAATGGGTTTCAGTCTAGGGGAAAATACGGCTGCTTATCTTTTACATTTGGCTTCCAATGTCCATGAAACGTTATAAGAATCATTACTTGTACCACCCTTGCTTAATGCTGCCACGGCTTGCATACCCTTGTACTGGAAAAATACCTCAGTGTCCTCCCCACTCTATTGGTCTAAGGTTAATTACATTTTTCAGATGGAGGACCTCTTGGCGTCTGCTAATCATAGAGAGGCACAATTATTATTATACAGGATTTATATAGCGCCAAAGAACAGTTTGTGCAGCACTTTACAATACAAGGAAGACATTACAATCACAATTCAAGACAAGATGGCAAGGAGGACCCTGCCCCTGAGGGCTTACAATCTAAAATTCAATCACACCTGGTTTTACTGGACCAAATTTGTTACTTCTCCTGAATATAGTACACTGCTAGGGTCACAAGATTCAATGGTTCTGGGTGGGCAATGGAGTACAGTGGCTGGAAACACTGGCATAGACCTGTTATATTTTTTTTTTTGTGGTCCACTTCGTTATGGAGGACTAGTCAGCCCGAAGCGGGACTGGGTGGGGGGAGGGGACGCAGCTATACTGTAGCCCTCAACGCCGTTCTTTCGTACTTACCTTTTCTTTTTCTCTTTCCCCCTTTTTCTATCCCACCTCCCTTTCTTTCCTCTTTTTTCTATTTCTCGTTAGAGTTATTTATCTATGTATCCCAGGACTCACGGGGTCACTTAATAGGATATGCGGCCAACATTCTCTAGTTCAATATGTGTCCAAAGGATTTGTACAAGTTCTTATCTTATGACCTTTTGTTGATACTAGATCTCTCATTTTATATGCTTGATTTATTATTTTTGAATATGGTCTTTTGTCCTGCGATTGACGTTCTGTGTATTGAAAATTGTAAAAATACATTATTTACAAAAAAAAAACCCACGACGGGTGTTCCAATCTCCCTTCACTGCATCCGAAGCTACAGAAAAGGTTTTGGCTTGAGTTGCACTTTAAAGGAAATCTGTACTGAAAGAAATACTGACGTTTCCTCTGATGATTTCCTTGATAGTCTCCTTGATAAAAAAAAAAAATGCAAGTTGTCTGGCCGTCTCAGGGTCCACTACTTTCTTAGTCATAGACTTGGAACAAGTATGCAGATCAAAAGTTCTCTCTGACTTAAAGTGACATTAAACCCTCAGATTTTTTAACATAAAACAATAGTGTAATGTGTGCCTTACTGTATTCCATGGTAGTTTATTTTCTCTTTGCTGCTCTTCCTTTTAAATCCTTATCTCTTCTCATGCTTGGGGAGAACTTCCCTTTGCAGCTGAGTGCCTCTTCCTGTAGTGCTGGCTCAGGTTGCAAACCTACACACAGACACCATGTATCCATTTCAGAGACAAGGCAGTCTACTGCAAAACAGAAGTTCTGCCAAGCATGAGAAGAGATACAGATTTAAAAGGAAGAGCAGCAAAGAGAAGGGAAACTACAATGGATTACAGTAAGGCGCACATTACAGTATTGGTTTATGTTAAAAAATCTGAGGGTTTAATGTCACTTTAAACTCAAAGATATAAAGCCAGAGACAGCCAGACAACTAGCATTTTCATAAGTTGGTACGGACAGCCCCTACATTTCCCTTAAGACAGGTGTCTCCAACTGGCTATAACAGCAGGTTGTTAAACCAACCAATACATTTATCATCTGCCAAAGGAAGCGAGCCGACAATATTTCATGAATCAAAGCCGATGTATTTTTTTACAGTATGAAGGATTTATTCAAGGCAGGAGAATGTGTCACTAGGCCTCTAGCGTGAAAAAGAACCCTGCTACAGACATCAAAAGTCTCTGATAACCAGTTTAAAAAAAAAGGATTTCTTTCTCTTTGCAGAACAGGCACAGCAGGAGCTTATTATAAATCCCATGATCCCACATGTACTTTGCTACTGAACACTGATAATGTCACCAGAGAACACGTTACAAATAGCTCTGGCATGTTCTCCTTGAGAAAATGGTGTGAAAGTCTCGGCTTGTATATACTGCTTCACCAAGTGTTTCTTTTATATCACATACAGTTTCAATATCGTTAATATCTGAATGCCAAATTGTTTAACCACTTGATGACTGGGGTGTTAAACCCCCTTCCTGACGAGGCCAGCACCGCAGTACTTTGATGTTTATTCCGCCATACAACGCTGTACTGAAATTAATTTTATACCATTTATTGGGGGACAGATAGAGATTTCTTTTGGTAGTATTTATTCACCACTGCGGTTTTTATTTTGTACTTTATAACACAAAAAAGTACAGAAAATTTTGAAAAAAAACAAACTGTTTCCCTTTGTTATGAAACATTTATCACCCCAATCACACCCACAATTGGCCATAGGTGATGCTTTAAAAGCATTTACTGCTCATCAGTTTAGTGAATGCACGAGTGGGGGCGGGGAGGGATGTCTTCAAATGTTCTCCAGCATCTACAAGGCTCCTGTCCGTATGGCCGCAGGACAGGAGGTGGTTAAAGAAACTACAGGAAATGTTTTTATTAACCCTTGCAGTGGGGCTACCCTGGCACTGCAAGGGTTAACTACTCATTTGTGTTGAGGTCTAAGGTCCAGTAAATCATCAACATCTATACACTGTATAGACGTGAGGACGCTGAGGAAGATTCCAATGTTGCTGCAGGGAGGAGACAGGCTGAAGGGAGCGCCATGACAGCTGGCCGACTCAGAGGTTCGGGTGAGTATAACTGTTTTTTTAGCATCTAGACACAAACAAGCACTCAAACCTTGCAGTGCAGGGGTAGCCCCACTGCAAGGTTTAATAAAAAAATAATAATCCTGGAGTTCTTCTTTAATAATGCGCACAATTTAATGTTTGTAACTAATGGATTAATAAATGATGCGCCATTTGTTTTATTTGATCTTTATTTTTTTTAATTCTCTTTTCCTTTTAATCTATGATTTGTGACACTTACTGTAGATATATTGCCATGTGCAATTCATTTTAGGAATAGTAATGGAGCTGAAACATAAATAAAATTGGGAAGTGTTTTATCTGTAATAATGACAGAGGTTGGGACAAACAGTGCCAGAGGTGCTTGAGTGCTTGCAGCAATTGTTGTTTCTCCCTTTATACCATGTGAATGAAAGGTGACCATTGGAAGCATCCCTGGGGGTTTCTAGTTGATCCACTTTTGATTAACAGCATTGTCTGCGTGTAAATGTGAAAGAAAAGGAGTAATAAAAGACATGGTGTATAAAAGTCGTTCTTTAACCTGACCTTCATGTCGTTGCAGCTTCTCGCTGATTCTACAATTTTCTATTACAGAAGCATTCATAGATCTGGGACATCTCTCAATATCTGGCCGGTTTCTGACCCAACTTTCCTGAACCCGACGAAATTCGACTAGTGGGTGTCGCTGTTGGCACCCTTCCGCCCAGGATCTCTCAATCAGCTGATCGAAGGAGCTGGTTGGAAAACGCTCAGTTGAACGGAGCTAGCAGCTTCTGGCTGTTTGGGTATTTTGACAGCAGCAGGCGTCCACTGTCACAATACAACGCAAACAGTGGGGGATTCAACGCTCGTAAGCATTGATGAAGGAATCTGTTAGATTTTCTTTGTTTAGCCCACAAGTTGAGCGAAGAAAAACATGAGTTGATTACCTGATAACTCTGTTTCCAGGAATCTTCCAGGACAGCCATCGAGATATAGGCTCCGCCTGCCTGCAACAGGAAACACATCCACCACATTAAATAAATAGACACGAAGTCGACTTCCCCACACCCGCAACAGCCGATTTTGTAACGGCTGTGAGTGGAATTGTGCCCAGGTGACCGCTGGGATGGTCGACGTCATGAGATCGACCATTCTCATTACCGAACGGACTGAAGCTGTACTCTGTAACTGGAGTCTCAGCGACTCCTCTACCAAGAGCGACACTTTGTCTTCTGGCAGAGCATGTGTACCTGGCTTTAGAGAAGCCCATAAGACATGTTTATAGAGCAAAACACCCTGACATGCATGCACTGGCTTCCAATAGCCCAAAGGATAAAATTCAAAATATTAACAACCACTTACAAAGCCATCCACAACTCTGCCCCCGGCTATATCTCAAACCTGGTCTCAAAGTATCTCCCTAACCGTTGGCTCCGCTCTTCACAAGACCTCCTGCTTTCCAGCTCCCTTATCAACTCCTCCCATGCTCGCCTCCAGGACTTCTCTAGAGTCTCTCCCATCCTCTGGAATTCTTTACCCCAACCTGTCCGTCTGTCGCCCACCTTGACTGCCTTTAGGCGGTCCCTAAAGACTCATCTCTTCAGGGAAGCCTATCCCACCTCAACCTAACCGCTCAACCAGCACGTTCTCAAACAATTCGACCCAACACAGCTCCCTCCTCATGTATCACTTGCCCCTCCCTTTTAGATTGCAAGCCCTCAGGGGCAGGGCCCTCCTTACCATCTTGTCTTGAATTGTATTGTAATGTCTGCCCTATATTGTAAAGCGCTGCGCAAACTGTTGGTGCTATATAAATCCTGTATAATAATAATAATAATGTGTGTCTATACAAATGTACTATACATTTCAGTTACACTATAACTGTTGATACTCACAGATATGGTTAGATGCAGATACACTTGTTCAGTTCCAGGAGCTGAACGACCCAACACTGACAGTCCATCTGAAACCATTCCTTCATGTAGCACTCCATCGAATGGTTCCTTGACATAAAAGAAGATCAAATAGTTTAGATTGTAACAAGATACAGTCGCTTTGCCTGTCTCTACAAAGGACCACCTTATACTCAGATTGCCTGCGCTCCCTCACTGCTCCTTTCTGGAAGCCGGTAATGCTTAGTGCACAAGCCACACAGAACACCCCCGATTTTACAAACTGGCAGCACTCCTCCTTGTAACATCCCTCATTAAGACTGCCATTATACAGGTGAAACTCGAATAATTAGAATATCGTGCAAAGTTCATTTATTTCACTAATGCAACTTAAAAGGTGAAACTAATATATGAGATAGACTCATTACATGCAAAGCAAGATAATTCAATCCGTGATTTGTCATAATTGTGATGATTATGGCTTACAGCTCATGAAAACCCCAAATCCACAACCTCAAAAAATTAGAATATTACATGCAATCAATAAAACAAGGATTGTACATAGAACAATATCGGACCTCTGAAAAGTACAAGCATGCATATGTACTCAGTACTTGCTTTGGGCCCCTTTTGCAGCACTTACTGCAATTACTTTTGCACGATATTCTAATTATTCGAGTTTCACCTGTATGTCTGATGAATGAACCACGTTTACTAGAGGAAATGAGCAATCACAAACTACACACTGAGCGACGAGACACGTTAACATACATGTGCTGCTTTAAGGCCTGCCCATCTATTTTGAATGGGCTGCCAACTAACTTAAAAGCGGACCAGAACATTTTTGGTAACGCAGCACACCATGACGCATAAAGCCTGTGACACAAAGCCTGTGAAGCAGCACGGACCTTTGCATGCAGTGTGTCTTGTCATTTTCACTCCAGAAGATGCATGCAGGTTCCACCGCACTCCTTTCCAGACTCCCCTTTTTCCTCAAAGGTGAGTGCTGACGTGACCGCGGATGGCACCGCTGAATATCCCATTAAAATACAGGAACCTCACTAGCACACCAAAGCAATATACCGAAATGCACGTCTTTTTATTGACGCATGTTGTCACATTTACAGCGCAACGTTTTCGGCCCATGCAGGGTCACCTTCATATTGAGCTTGATGAAGGGACCCAGCGCGGCCCCAAAACATTCCGCTGGAAATGTGACATAACGCGTCAATAAAAAGAAGCCATGCATTGCTTTGGAGTGCTAGTGACGTTCCTGCATTTTCTTGTAGTTTTCACTCCGGCGCCTCAGCTTGTGAGAACTAGCATAGCTGAGCTTGGCGAGATGAAAAATGTCACCCTAAGCCAATCGGCTTGCGCGTATATACCTGTGCATCAGGATGCGACGTCCATTCAGTTGTTACATGTGAGCCGATTGGCTGAAGATGCAGTCTTTCATCTGGCCGCGCTCATCTCACACACTGCAAGCGAACGTTCCGCGCCTCACAGCTTTCCTTTACTCTGCACCGCTTCACATGCAGTGTGTCACGGGCTTTACCAGGCAAAGCAGGTCCAGTGATTTGGTACATTGGGGTGCCATTTAGAATGAATACAACTGCAAGGCACCAACACAAGCATGGTTCAGGGCTGTTTTACTGCAACACAAAGGGGTGAAGCCAGCCTAAGAGAAACGCATGGGCTCCTTTTGCTAATGATAATTGCCAGGCTGACTTTAATACTTTTTGAGTCACAGACCCAAATGAAAGGGGTGGGCCAGGGACAGTCAGTCTGGGCATCAAAGGGCTGGATGATTCTGGATGTCTTCAAGCCAGGAAATGAGATGGGCTCTACTTTGCTGCAGCTTCTAATGTACACTGTGAGCAGGCAAATTCAGTACAGGAGAGAAGTCTGTACAACTGTACAAGACTGAGGGCTCGTTGACACCAAATCCAGATCTGCATGAGCTTCTGCATATGCAGTGCACTTCTACACTTTTGTTTAGCCGAAAATGGCCTTTCAGTGCGTTCCAGGGTGTTGGCATGCATTTTTGATGCAATTGCATCCGTTTTGGTGCGTTCCTGCTGTGCTGTGGTGTGAACTATAGCCCAAAATACCATTGGAATACATTGGATGCATTTTTGATGCGTTTTGCAATTGCTCCGCACTTAATGTAAACAAGCCCTAAGGGCTTGTTCACACCAAGCGCGCTCCAGGAGCAGAGCAGTTACAGACAGGATCAAAACTGCGTCCAATGTATGCCAATGGTATTTTGGGCTCTAGTTCACACCGCAGTGTTCATTTCCAGGGCATGTAAAAAAAACTGCAGCAAGCCCTATTTTTCCTGCGCTGGAACGCATGCAAACGCATCAAAAACGCATGCGAGCACACTGGAACGCACTGAAAGCCCATTTTAAACTAAAACGGCCTGAAACGCAGCAAAAAACGCAGTATAACACACTGCAATGTGCGTGCGGAAACTCATGCAGATCTGGCCTGCATTTGGTGTGAACAAGCCCTGAAAGAAAGGCTGGAGTTCAGCTTTATTTAGGTTTCCCTATCTTTATGTAGCACATTGGCTGATACATGACTGGTCATAGCTTATTACTCTATTACATTACTCAGGCCCCTCATCGTAATCATCTTTCCCACTCCAACAGCTTCCAACTCGCAGCCATTCCACCAACTTCCACCTTGTGACAATGAAGACGTTTTGTTTTTGTCATTTGAAGTAAAAGGCACATTTGGGGTTTTCAGTTTGAATAGCATGTGTTAGATCTTTTGTCATGTTTGTATTGCTGCCTGTGTCTTCATTGTGGACATTGAGCTTGGAAATTTGGAGAATGTACTTCTGCCAAGTGTCCACCTATCCCTGCCACTAGACTACAACTTAAAGCATATGGAAACCCCAGGGGAAAATCGAATATACTGCAGCTTGCCAGTCTTTAGATGTGGTGGCTGCATTCGTTTTCTCTTCTCCGGCTTCTTTTGCTGTTTTGCCTGGTGATCCTGCCAGTAACACACTTTCTGACCTAGGGTGACAACACTCACTCACCCTATCAGCATTGTCACCCTAGGACAGCAATGCCTTGTGCTCCCCCTTCTATGCTGTCCTCCCCCTGTACTCGCTTCCATGCTGTCGTCGTCCCCTGTACTCACCTCCCTCGTCTCCAGGCTGCCCTCACCTCCATTCTCCCCCACCCTTCTCACCTCCATGCAGTTCCCCCGTTCTCTCCTCACCTCCAAGCTGTCGTCCTTCTGTACTCACCTCCATGCTGTCCTCCTGTTGCTCGCTGTCTGAGTCAGATTCCCCGGGGTCCCTCCAGTTGTCATGCCTGGGGCTCTCCCATCCGCCAGCACTCCTCTCCTCCAGGTCTCGGTCACTGATTAGTGAGAAATCCTCCCGGAGGCCGGGGCTGAGTAATGCTACAGCCATGTCCGGAGCCGATGACACCTCAATTCTTCGTGCAGCGGACTCTTCACTCTGCTACCAGGAGACAGGACGCCGTGCCAAGAGCCGCCATGTTGTGTACAACTCTGTAACTAGGCAACACCGGGCGTAAGCGGCCAATGCATTCTGGGAAGTGTAGTTTGAGTACGGGGTGGTTTTGTTGCCATTCCTACATATAATTATTATATGCCCTTTTAAAGGACTTTTAAACGTCGTCTCGTTTAGTCCTTGGAAGGTTTTTTTTACCCGAAAATCCCTTTCAATTTGATCTCTAACTTTGGGGGTTGCATTTAGCAGAATGTATGGTTGTAACAAGAAACATGGTCCCAAAGGTGAATTAGGAACTCCAGGCAGAACAATTCATCCTTGCAGTCACCGGTGACCATCCTTATCCATAACACTGTCTTTTTTGACGACCAGTAGGCACAATACCACCCACATCGGACCACCCTTTAGGGTTGCCGCCTTTTCTTCCAGCGAAACCCGAACACTCTAGCGACGCACGGACATTTTTTGGGGAGAAGGAGTCGTGGCTTATTCGTATGTAAATAACGTCACCCATTCATGTATAAATATCACAGTTGAGACTATTTTTACTGGGGGGCCGATAGACCCTATCTTAATTTTGGTTGCCCCTGTCTGTCTGACATCATGTGTCCAGGTCTCAGCTGCCATGAAACCCGGACACAGCATTCAAAACCCTGACTGTCTGGGTGAATCCTGGACAGGTGGCAACCCTACCACCCTTACCCACAGCACCACCCTCATTCTGCCACGCCTCTATAGCCAACCTTACCTAAAACACAACCTGTATGCAGACATCCCAACCTGCAAAACCTTATTTCAGGGAGGTTCCCGTCTCATTTCAGGGAGGTGCCATTTCTGTTTTTTTGTATAAAATATAAAAATAAAAATATAATTATATACATACATACATACATACATACATACATACAGAGTAAAATAAAATCCATATACCAATGATACAATAATACAATATATTTATTTATATATACATCAGATTTGTGAATTGATGTTGAAGTATCGGTCAGTGTAAAGGTCACAATTTATTAGACAGCCCGAGACCTTTTTAATAAAACGCTGAGGAGTAAAGTCCCTGATACACAGTTGACTAGTTGCTATGGGCAGCAAATGAAATAAATGTTCTCTATAACTAGACAACCAGGACATATAATTGATTCTATATTATCCACAAAGGGTTAACAGCACTCTCTCAACCCTGCAGCAGTGCCTGTACCTGCTCTCAATAGTAGTCTATGTCCGCCCTCTCTGTGCAGCAAGTAGCTTCTTCCTTCTGAGAGCCAAGCCTCGTTCTGAGGCTACTCTAGAGATCACATGACCTTCCTCCAGGAGGCAAGCCTCACTCTGAAACCTTACCCACTGATATCTTACCGGAAAGGTTTACTCAGAGTAAACCTTTCAGGGAGAAAATGCCTCTCTCGCGGACATCAGGGAGCTGCTGTCCAAAAGAGGGAGACTCCCTGAACATCAGGGAGACTTGAGATCCCTGTGTATGTAACTACCATGTGGTCATTGGTACCCACAACATTACTCCTATTGTGATATAATATCAGATCTGCGCCTAGGAAAACCTTCACCAATCAATTGAATAAATAAATAAATAGAGCTGCTGCACTCCTGACAACTAGGTCCAATGACACATAAATAAATATGCAGCATATTTAATCACTAGAGTTGTGGATTTATTAATTCTGCGCTAAATGGTTTCAAATATACTAAGACAAGTTAAATAGGAAGCTGCTGTATTATAGACAACTGGGTCCAATAATTGGTATAACTGAATATCCAGCGCTAATAATTCAATCTGTGCAAATCGTATCCGCCTAGTCAACTGCCCCGAGTGATGTCAATGCAGTGAACTAGGTGGTAACCTCATTAACAAGTGCAAAATTATATAAACGTGTCAAGTGACTCCAATAAATGATTGTGATGCCTCTACATAATAAAGTGCATATCTAATCACAGGTGCAAAAAAAGCAGGTAAATCTCTGTGCAATTTTATAGTGCAAGACTGCTTGATAAGGAAAACCTTCACCAATCAATTGAATGAATAAATAAATAGAGCTGCTGCACTCCTGACAACTAGGTCCAATGACACATACATAAATATGCAGCATATTTATTTATTTACTACTATTGTGCCTCCTATCAACACCAACATCAGTCTGCTCTGTCTCTGTGGACACTGTTAACAGCAACACCACCTTTTTCTGACCACCCTTTACCCACCCCCGTCTAGCCACTCTTACACACAATGCTACCCTCATTTGTGCACCCACACCACCCCCCTCATCTGCCATGGCTCCGTGCTCACCATTACATCCAACCTGTATCTTTTCACCCAATTTCCACCCATACGTACATTCTCATTAGTTTATATTGATTCTTTTTCAGACTCTGCTGTTAGTACTTCTGGCTATCGTCTCTTTTGGAGATACAGAATAAAACAAAAAGAGCTGGCAGTGTCTGTCTCTATGTAAAAAGTGACAAATCGTCGATGAACTCCTCAACACCTTCATGTACTAAGTCTCTGTGGCCATCTTTACCAATGACACCAATCTCATCTGGAGAGCTTCTGTGGAACATTTACCCATAAACCCTATCACACTTGGCATAGCCCTCAACACTCTCACCCACCAAGACCACCATTAACCTCACCACCCCCACCCCCATGTGGTCATCATTACCCACAGCACCACCGGTATTTGACCATGTTTTGGCCACCTGTATCCACAACACCATCCCAGAAAGCAAGCATTACACACCCCACCAGCACCCTCATATGGCCATCCTTACCCACATCATTTTCATCTACCTTAGCACTGTTTCATCCCTTACCCCCCAGCATCACCTGTTACTGTCCACCTCATGGCCACCCGTACCCTGGACATCACTCCTTTATCTGGCCGCCCTTACCCTCAAGACCAGCCTCATCTGGTCATCCTTACCCATGGCACCACCCTTGTTTTACCATGGCCTCCCTTTTCCACTGCAGCAGCTTTTTCTGACCACCCTTTAACCACCTGTACCCTCAACACCGCCCCCAAATGCCCACAACCCCACTCTCATTATGCCATTGCTCTGTGGTCACCCCTCTACAATTGTTGTACATTATTTTAGAAGTCAGCTGTTTAGTGCAGACCAAATGTACATTTTATTGTCAGCATTTATGTCCCTTGAGCCACCTATCTCTAACACTTAAAGGACCATTTATCACTTTTTTCACACAACTTTTGACTAAGATTTATACACTTTTCCAATTGAATCTTATATGAAAAATCATGGGTTACAGTTGTGTAACTCCTAGGTAAAACACTGATAAATAGACCCTTTACTCTGTTAGTATAGGAATGTCTGAGCTGCCATTGCTGACTTTTGTTTGAAGGTACAGGCACCAGGGCTGTTATCCTGATCATTGCTTCACTACATTGTAATGTGGCCCTCCAACTTACTTTAGAGTGTATGACTAACCAAAACTTTTTAAAAACCTGTTGAATAGAGGGGTTAGAAGTTAGAACCCATGTCAAATTGCCCATGTTTTCTGTGTTCTAGTTGTTTAGATTCCCCCACTCTATTTGTCATCTGGTGAACATTACTACTTGTGTCTGCAGGTTCTCATTCATGGGGGATTGGGGGGCAAGCAGAAGCACTGAACACATTAGGGCGGGGTGGGAGTCCCAAACAGCAGCAATGTACACACACTT